ATGCCCAGCTAATTTTTTCTATATATATTTTTAGTTGTCCAGATAATTTCTTTCTATTTTTAGTAGAGACAGGGTCTCGCTCTTGTTCAGGCTGGTCTCGAACTCCTGACCTTGAGCGATCCACCGGCCTCGGCCTCCCAGAGCGCTAGGATTATAGGTGTGAGCCACTGCGCCCCGCTGACCCTGTCTCTTAAAAAACAAAATTAAAAGAGACAGGAAGTTTGGGAAACATAACAGGAAAGGTTTTTCCTAGGGGTTTCTACCTAGTATCCTGCATATGGTAGATAAAATTTAAAGTCCTTCCAAAGAAACTTGTTTTTCCTATCTTTTTCAATGTTCCACTCTTTTGCTCCACCTCTAATTCTAGAAAATTCATCCATAAACAGGTACTACTTCAGATATGCTGAGTTGAAGACACCAGAGTTAACCAATAAATTGGCAAAAACATACCAACATAACATATACACAAGCCTTAAAGAATCAGAATCTGTGGCCAGACACGGTGGCTCATGCCTATAATCCTAGCACTTTGGGAGGCCAAGGTGGGAGGATCACTGGAGTCCAAGAGTTTTGAGACCAGCATGGGCAACATGGCAAGACCCATCTCCATAAAAATAAATACATAAATAAAATTAGCCGGGCGTGGTGGCACACACCTGTAGTCCTAGCTACTCAGGAGGCTGAGGCAGGAGGATCACTTGAGCCCAGGAGTTCAAGATTGCACTGAGCTATGATTACGCCACTGTACTCCAAGTGGGGCGACAGAGACCCTATCTTAAAAAAACAAACAAACAAAAAAAACCAATCAGAATGCGTATGAAAGGACCTTACTTTCCAAACTGATACACCATTTAAAAGAAAAGGAATTTAGGAGACCTTAAGAAATGTAAAGCATTTTCTTGGCAATTCAACATGTTCTCAGTTTGAATTGCTCTTCTAACACACAACTCCTTGTATTTATGACTGAAAGTTGGAGAGTCATAGACTTAAAAACAAATTATCTCCAAAAAAGATATACAAACGGCCAATAAGCACACGAAAGCTCAGTATCATTAGTCATTAGGGAAATGCAAATCACAACCACATTGCAATACCACTTCACATCTACTAGGATGGCTATAACACATACACACACAAAAAAAGGAAAATAACACAATGTTGGCAAGGACATTGAGAAATTAGAACCCTTATGTTGCTGTTGGGAATACAAAATGGTGCAGCCAATGGGGAAAACAGTTTAGCAGTTCCTCAAAGTTAAACACAGAACTACCATATGACCCAGCTATACACTCCCAGGTATATATCCAAAAGAACCAAAAGTAGAAACTCAGATATTTGTACACCAATGTTCATAGCAGCATAATTCACAATAGCCAAAAGGTGGAAACAACCCAAGTGACCATCATAGATGAATACATAAACTGTGCTATATACACACAATGGAGTATTATTCAGCCACAAAAAGGAATGAGTTTTGATATATGCTACAACACGGATGGACCTTAAAACATATGCTAAGCTAATTAAGACAGACACAGGACAAATCTTATATGATTCCACTTATATGAGGTACCCAGAATAGGCAAATTCACAGACAGAAAGAACTGTGGTTACCAGGGGTTGGGGGAAGAATGGGAAGTTGTTATTTAATGGGTACAGAGTTTATACTGGTGATGATGAGAACATTTTGCATATACATAGTGGTGACACACATTGTAACAATTTCAATGCCACTGAATTGTACACTTACGAATTCTTAAGATAATAAAATTTTATGTATATTTTATCACAATAAAAACCCTAAATTACCATATTGCAGTAAGTAATTAAATGCTTACTATGTATATGGCATTGGGCCAAAAGATAAATGTGTGTTTACAGTACACACATGGATTTGCTCTCCATTTCAGACACATGTAGGCAAATAGGGGATTACTAATATTATGTCTTCTATAAAGCTACATGTCACTTCCAATATCATCAGGAGAATGTCCTCTTCAGAAATGCTAATCCAGTTTCCAGGACCAAACAATGCCCAAAATATACCATTTATGAAGAGCAGCTTCAGAGAACACATTAAAAATAGCACGCATTTTATTTTTAAGCTCAAAACGAACACTGGACTTTTCCAGTACCACTGTACCCTCCACAAACTCTTCAATTAGAATTGAGTATATTGGAAGCAAGTTGTTTCTGGTAAAGTTTCTGATTATCAGGAATCAAGACACAATAGCCCTAAAGGTAACAGAGTTTTGTATCTAACATCTTCAAAACCAAGACATAGCATACTTTACTTTCAAAGCAGAGTACAAATATTTTACCATATCCTTCAATCCATAGAGCATTCCACTGTAAAAGGATTCATGTTGACTCTGCATAATTCTTCTCACACATAATTCACTTCAAGTTAGATGAGGGACTAACTATAAAACACACATTATTTGAAGTATACGAGCATGAAAAGTAGAACTCTACAACTTATCTTAAAAAAAAGAGTTAGTTCCAGGAGCTTTTTATTGTTTGAATAACAGAGCACACAAACCAGGCAGAGAAGTCCTCAAGGAAATGATGGTCACGTTTCACTGTTATTTGCCCTTTGGTCCTTCATCTTTTAAGCACTTACATTTTCTTTTAATGATATTAGACACTTATTTTGATCACAAATGCAATTCAAGTGTGAATAAATAAATGTATTATCTTTTAAGACCCTTATCCCATGTTCCTTTAAATAGAAAAAAGTACTAAATGTTTCTTCATAGCCTATTTGGCCATAGTTTTAAAAACCTATGGTTCTAAAAACGGATTATGACTTGATCTTCTGAATCCTTCTCAAACTACAACTCATTCTGTTAAAGAAATCTTGGGAAAGATGTCCTACTGGTATTGTCGATAGTCTCCAAAAGGTGAGGATGGTAACTGTGTTGAAGGCAACTGGGAGGGGTCTTCAGCAAACTGAGGGCCTGCAAGTAAGAAAAAGGGTTTAAAAAAATCATCTGAATATTATATAATTAAAAAGAACAAGTCTCTATAGAGAGTAAATCAATCAACTAAAAAATTACGTGCCATGTTACAGCTGTAACCTGAATTTCTTTGTAGATCCACTTAATTCCTGTTAGCATAGTGGAGAACCTTCAAACTTGGTATAATATATGACAGACTGATTTCTGTTATGTTCCAGAATGAACAGCTTTCAAATGCTATGCTAGGAAAGTCAGATGGATTAATTATAGCAAGAAGCAATATTCAAGTTCTTAAAGCAATTGCTATAACAAGCTGCCATATATCAAGATTGGAAGAATCTCTCCCACCTCTTGACATATTTTTCAGTAGCTATTTAAAATTATTTTCACAAAGTTTAAGTATCTTAGTCATATTTTAAGAGAACTTGGTAATCTAATTTATATAACCAATTAAGCAAGGAATGAGCTCTGAAATGGGAAGATACCCTGTAGCTTGCTATAGAACAAAGCTACAGTTTTAGTTTTCAAAACATGGAAAGGCCTGTAAACTAAGAAAAAAATGCAGCTCTTAAAAAAAGGAGACTTTGGCCGGGCGCGGTGGCTCACACCTGTAATCCTAGCTCTCTGGGAGGCCGAGGCAGGCGGATTGTTTGAGCTCAGGAGTTCGAAACCAGCCTGAGCAAGAGCGAG